TTCCCTTGTTTGATGAGAAGAGAAACTTCTTCAAGAATGGGGGGGACCAAGAAAGTCCAGTTGCCTTCTGGAAAAGCCCCTTTGGGACACCCACGACCTGGATGACTGACACCCTCCCTAGACCTGGATTAGGATTCGGTCACCAAAGAGGAAAAAGGGGATCTTTGGGGAAAAAGTTACTTAAAAGAAGTGGGAAAGACGGGGGGGGGGGGGGAGACACACACAAACGCCCCTTCCTCAGCCGGGCCCCCAACTTCCCAGCGAGTGAGAAAGAGGGAGCCTCCTGCTCCAAGGGAGGGTGAACCCCGAGTCTCAGTTGCGGGTCCCCCCATGGCTCCCCCAGACCAGACCATCCCTTCTTCAGACGAGCCTGCGAGGCAGGAAGGGCAGCGAGGGCAGAGCCGAGCCGAGCCGGGAGGGAGGGAGGCGGAGGCGGGCGGGCGGGCAAGGCAGGCAATCTTCTGCCCGGTAGCCGGACGGTTCTGTTTGCCTGTAAATAAAGGCGAAGCGTCCCAGGCGGAGAGGGTCGTATAAAAGCGGCTGCCACGCGGGTCAAGCCGCCTGGCCGACAACTGGGACTCCGGGGCGCAGGAGGAGGAGGAAGAGGAGCAGGTAAAGAGGCGCCGGGGACCTGCTGAGGGGTCCCCGGGGGACCCCGGCTGGGGAAGGGTCGTCCCGGCAGGTTGGGCTGCGGAGGAGGAGGAGGAGGAGGATGAAGAAGATGAAGAGGAGGAGGAGGATGAAGAAGAGGAGGAGGAGCGGGGCGCGCTTCAGACCCCGGACAGCGCTCGAGGGGGGCCGGGACCCCCCAATTCTGATCCGGCGTCCGGGGCTTGGCTAGAGGGAGGGAGGGAGGGAGGGGAAGGAAGGGATGCGGCTAACAAACGTGGGGGGGGGGGTCTCGGAAGGTTGCCCCCTCCCTCTGCAACTCGCGGGGTGCGCCTTGCCCGGCGGAGTGAGGAGGGGGGCATCCCGGGGTGCCTCTCCTCCAGCGGTGTGTCCGGAGGTGAGGATGCTCTCAGGGTGCCCCAGTTGACTTGCCCCTCGGGACTCAGGGCCCCTCGGCCCCCCAGCCCCCCAATCCCTTTCNGGGGGGGGGGCTCGGCCTCCAGCCCTTTTTTCCTTTCAGCCCAGCTCAGATCACCAGCCCCCTCTCCCCCAGCCCCCCTGTCCCTCAGCCCTCCATGCCTCTCATCCCCCTTTGCCTCTCCCCCTCGTCTCTCCTGGCGCCTCATCCTCCCCTCACCCTTCAGGACCCCTCAGGACCCCTTGTCCCAGCCAGTTCTGCTTCTCACCCCCCTTCATCCCCATCCACCTTTGGCCCTCAGGGCCCCCCAGCCCTTTTCCCCTCTCAGCACCCCTCAGCCTCCCTCTTCCACAATCCTCTGTCCCTCAGCACCCCCCATGCTTCTCATTCTCCCTCAGCTCCCTTCACCCCCAGCCCCTTTTATAGATCCTTCACCCTCAACCCTCCTCGCCCCTCAAAGCCCCTTGACCCCCCCCAGCCCCTCTTGCCTCTCAGCACTCCACTCCCCTCAGGTTCCCTGCCTCCTCAGCCCCCTCGCCCTCCATCCCACCCCATCTCTTAAGGGGTGAGGGCTTTCCTCAACTGAAAGAAAGAAAGAAAGAAAGAAAGAAAGAAAGAAAGAAAGAAAGAAAGAGAGATAGAAAGAAGAGAGAGAGAGAAAGAAAGAAAAAGAGAGAGAGAAAGAAAAAGAAGAAAGAAAGAAAGGAAAGAAAGAAAGAAAGAAAGAAAGAAAGAAAGAAAGAGAAAGAAAGGAAAGAAAGAAGAGAGAGAGAAAGAAAGAAATTTAGAAAACAAGAAAGAAAGAACGAAAAAGAGAGAGAAAGAAAAAGAGAGAGAAAGAAAAAAAGAAAAGAGAGAAAGAAAGAAAGAGAGAAAGAAAGAAAGAAAGAAAGGAAGGAAGGAAGGAAGGAAGGAAAGAAAGAGAAAAGAAAGAAAATGAAAGAAAGGAAAGAAAGAAGAGAGAGAGAAAGAAAGAAAGAAAGAAAGAAAAAGAGAGAAAGAAAAAGAAAGAGAGAGAGAAAGAAAGAAAAAGAAAAGAGAAAGAAAGAAGAAAGAAAGGAAAAAAAAGAAAAGAAAGAAGAGAGCAAAAGAAAAAGAGAAAAGAAAGAAAAAAAAGAAAGGAAAGAAAGAAAGAAGAAAGAAAGAGAGAAAGAAAGAAAAAAGAAAGAGAGAGAGAAAGAAAAAGAAATAAAAGAGAAAGAAAGAAGAGAGAGCAAAAGAAAGAAAGAAAGAGAGAGAGAGAAAGGAAAAGAAAGAGAAAGAGAAAGAGAGAAAGAAAGAAAGAAAGAAAGAAAGAAAGAAAGAAAGAAAAAGAAAGACAGGAGAGAGAGAGAGAGAGAGAGAGAGAGAGAGAGAGAGAGAGAGAGAGAGAGAGAGAGAAAGAAAAGCCTGGTTGGGAACTCTGGCTTCTGCTGCTGCTCTATCAGGACCTTTGCCTGGCTGGTCCCCTTCCTCGGCTTGCAAAGAGCCTGAGGCTGGCTGGAAGGGGGGGGGAGCTGGCCCAGGTGGGTGGTGGGCAGGAGCTGGCCGGAGCTGGCCCAGGGCTGCAAAAGTCCAGGCGTGGGCTTGGTTTGGCATGTATGCTGTCCTTTGATGCCTCTGCACCCGAGTCTGCTTTGGGAAGGCTGCTTGTCTCCTTCGCTGTCTTTGCCCCAGGTGGGGGAACAGCCATGGCAGCCAGCGGTGGGGCCGACGGAGGCCGCCCGGATCTCAGTCGCTACGTGGTGAGCCGACCCATCTACAACGAGCCCAGCTTCCAGGAGGAGAACGAGAAGAAGCTGGTGGTGCCCAAAACGCTCCGCGAGCGAGTCCAGAAATCCTGCAGGTAACCTGGCCGGCCTGCGTAGGTTTGGGGAACGGTTGAGCCGAGAGTGGTGTCCGCTCAAGGGGGCCTCTCACTCGGTCCTTTTGGCAAGTGACCGGGGTTTTTTTGTCTTTGGCAGCTGTTCGAGAAAAAAAGCCTTCCAAGTCACCAAGACCTTCTTCCCTATTCTGGAGTGGCTGCCCAAGTACAGGATTAAGGAATGGCTCCTGAGCGACATAATTTCGGGCGTCAGTACGGGACTCGTGGCTACCTTGCAAGGTAAGAGAGGGACGCACCTTTAACCTCATGACTGCGTCCAGTTTTACAGCCTTTCTTCCCCTGTCCGTTAAGCAAATGGTGCTTCCACCATTTCATTTGGATGGTTAGAAGCCCAGAAATGACCTTCTCGTGTGATGTTGCGATGGTCAAAAATTGCATGCCAAGTTGCCAAGCAAACCAAATCACGATCACGTGACTGCAGGGACCCTACGACGGTCCTAAATAACCAGGTTACTTTTTTCAGTGTTGTCGTAACTTTGAGCAATTGCTTGACGAACGGTCGTAAGACAAGGACTACCTGTTACAGATTGTATTTGTCTATTAAAGAACAGCGCGTTGACATTAATGTATTATAATTGACTTTAAGATGCTGCAGAATACGATTTAACATTTTTTTATTAAAAAAAAAAATTCTGTACCGTCAGGTTTGGCGTACGCCTTATTGGCTGCAGTTCCCATTGGATACGGCCTCTATTCTGCATTTTTTCCCATCCTGACGTACTTCTTCCTAGGAACATCAAGACACATCTCCGTCGGTAACTGGATATTTTTATTGTATTTTAATAAGAGATATGTTTCTTGGAGAATGCTCATTTTTGTTTGACGGCATGAATGTTTTTCGGTGCATTTTGTTTGCTGCAACAGGCTTTTATATGATGCTGTGTTTGGGCTGTATTTAAATTCTCCATTCTGCTCCACGCTTTTCCACGTTTAATTGCTGGAAATGACATCCACATAGGATATGTGCATCGGTATGCTGTTGGCAGAACTTAGCTATTATTAGCAGACGTTACTTAGATCAAGTATGTTTTGTGGTTTAAATCCCACAACCAGCACAAAAATAACAAGGAATCTCTTCCCTCAGACTAACAGCTTTAATAGTATGAGTCCCCACCTGAGCAAAAAGGCACTATAAAACTTGAATTAACAAATAAATTCTATTATTATGATGATTTAAGTTAATGTACACCTGGGAACATAATACAGATATTCCTCAACTTACGACTGTAACGGAGGCAGCCTGTTATGGTACTATGGACTACCGACTTTAAATTAAAATAAGAAGCTGAAAAGCACGATTCCTGTATCTGCCTTGTGGAACAGTGCCTCCCATGAGATCCACATGGCCCTGACTTTGTTGGCTTTTGTAAAAACTGGTTCTTCTAACAGGCCCCACCGGGCAGGGTCTAGTGATCAGATTCCTGATGGCTGTTAATTGGGAATAACTTTATTCAAGTTATCCTTTCCTAATGCGCACCGTTATTCTTCTGTTGATGTTGTTATTTTTACTTCTTAATTTATTAGCTGATATTTTACTTCTATGCTGTTAGCTGTCTAGAATCATTTGATGACTGAGATAACATGCAACTTGCATAGATAGATAGACAGACAGACAGACAGACAGACAGACAGACAGACAGACAGACAGACAGACAATAAATAGATGGATAACCTGTAGGTAGGTAGGTTAGTAGGTAGGTAGATAAATGAGAATGAGATGAGATGAGAGAGGATATAGATAGATGGATATAGATAAATAAGTAGATAGGTAAGCAGGCAGGCAGGCAGATGGATATAGGTAGGTAGGTAGGTAGGTAGGTAGGTAGGTAGGTAGATAGATAGATAGATAGATAGATAGATAGATAGATAGATAGATAGATAGATAGATAGATAGATAGATAATAAATAGATGGATAACCTGTAGGTAGGTAGGTTGATAGGTAGGTAGGTAGGTAGATAAATGAGAGCGAGATGAGAGGGAGGATATAGATAGATGGATATAGATAAATAGGTAGATAGGTAAGCAGGCAGGCAGATATGATATAGATAGATGGATATAAATAGGTAGGAAGGTAGGTAGGTAGATAATAATAATAATAAAGATAGATAGATAGATAGATAGATAGATAGATAGATAGATAGATAGATAGATAGATAGATAGATGATAGACAGACAGACAGACAGAGACAATAAATAGATGGATAACCTGTAGGTAGGTAGGTTAGTAGGTAGGTAGATAAATGAGAATGAGATGAGAGAGAGAGGATATAGATAGATGGATATAGATAAATAAGTAGATAGGTAAGCAGGCAGGCAGATGGATATAAATAGGTAGGTAGGTAGGTAGGTAGGTAGGTAGATAGATAGATAGATAGATAGATAGATAGATAGATAGATAGATAGATAGATAGATAATAAATAGATGGATAACCTGTAGGTAGGTAGGTTGATAGGTAGGTAGGTAGGTAGGTAGATAAATGAGAGCGAGATGAGAGGGAGGATATAGATAGATGGATATAGATAAATAGGTAGATAGGTAAGCAGGCAGGCAGATATGATATAGATAGATGGATATAAATAGGTAGGTAGATGATAATAATAATAATAATAATAATAATAATAATAATAATAATAATAATAATAATAATAATAAAGATAGATAGATAGATAGATAGATAGATAGATAGATAGATAGATAGATAGATAGATAGATAGATAGATAGATAGATAGATAGATGACAGATGAGATATTTAGAGAGAGAAAGGGAGGGAGGGAGAGAGAGAGATGCTAATGTGTTGCTGAATATTCTTACTGGGTTTCTGCCTGGTTTCATTCTTATTAATGGTTATATCAGGTTAGAGAAACAGGTAAGTGTGTCATGTCACTGGCAGAAACATCTTTTTTCACTCCCTGGGACCCCCAGCAGTCAGCATCCAAATACATATAAAGGGCTGAACATTAAGGACCCCACCAGACACAGTGAACTGTCACGTGGGAAACAAGCCTCCATAAAGCTGGCATTCGTTTCTTCTGCGTGGTTGGTTATAACTATAGACGACGCCCCTACAGTTTACATACAGCCAAAGGTAAAATCAAGCCAGCCTTGGGGTGTGTATTTAATTAATTTATTAATTTCTACAGCCACCCAACTCAACCAAATGGCTCTAGGAGAGGGGTAGGCCACCTTGGCTCTTTTATGACTCGTGGACTTCAACTCCCAGAATTCCTGAGCCAGCCGTGCTGAGGGGAAAGGGAGAGGTTTCCAAGCTGAGCCATGCTGGCTCAGGAATTCTGGGAGTTGAAGTCCACGAGTCATAAAAGAGCCAAGGTGGCCTACCCCTGCATTACAGTTCTAAAATTCTAAAGCAATCAAGCAGTAAAGACATTCAGAAAATAAACTTAAAAATTTAATGCTACGTTTAAGCTTATTGATTCCTCAGATTTATAGCCCGCCTTGTGTAGAGCAGCTCAAGGCACCACGCAGAGTGTGCCCTCCTCCTCTGTGGGCCTATGACGCCCACCCTGTGAGGGAGGTCGGGCTGAGAGAGAACATTTGGCTCAAAATCATTTGGGGAACCTTCGGTGTCTGAAAATGGAATAGAAATTGGGTCTTCCTGCTCTTATCCAGTACCTTAGACCAGAGGTCGCCAACCCTGGCAACTTTAAGACTTGTGGACTTCAATTCCCAGAATTCCTCAGCCAGCTTTGCTGGCTGAGGAATTCTGGGAGTTGAAGTCCACAAGCCTTAAATTCGCCAAGGTTGGAGACCCCTGCCTTAGCCATAACATTGGCTTCCAAAGATACATTTTAAAAATAGATATACTTCCTTTCGACAGGACCTTTCCCCGTGGTTAGTTTAATGGTGGGCTCCGTAGTACTGAGCATGGTACCGGACATGGATAACAGTAACATGACGGGGATGAATGGAACAACCGTGGTAGACATGGCCTCTAGAGACGCCCAGCGGGTGCTCATTGCCAGCACGGTGACCTTCCTGGTTGGCATAATCCAGGTAATCAAACCAGACAAAGCTGTTTCAAAACGTTATTGTATATATAACTGGGGAAAATGCTCTCTTTTTTTCCCCCCTTTTAATTTTTGCACAATTGATCTATAGTTTTGCATAATGGATCCATTGCACTGTTTTTATTTTAACCACAAGAAGACTGAGGATTATTTCCTGGGAAGGATGGGGTTAGAAGCAGTGTTTCTCAACCTTGGCCATTTTAAGATATGTGGACTTCAACTCCCAGAATTCCCTAGCCAGCCATGTTGGCTGGGGAATTTTGGGAGTTGAAGTCCACACATCTTAAAATGGCCAAGGTTGAGAAACACTGGGTTAGAGTCTATTAAATTAATACAGAGATAAGTAAAGATGGGCGGAAATTTATTGATTTATTTTCGTATAAGACAAGAAAGGAAGCCCAGGAAAATGTAGGATCCTGTCTGGGGGATATTGGGTTATATAGGTCTTCCACCTCCTTACTTTTTAAATTGTTTGCTGTGCTCCTTATTATTTTTTAATTATTTTTTAGGAAAAATTATGTGGTTTTTTTTCCCCAGCTAGTGTTTGGAGTACTTCAGATTGGTTTTATTGTAAGGTACCTTGCTGATCCATTGGTTGGTGGATTTACAACAGCTGCTGCTTTTCAAGTATTTGTTTCACAGCTAAAAATTGTGCTGAACGTTTCAACCAAAAACTACAACGGAGTCCTTTCCATAATCTACGTAAGTGTTTCTTACTAAACTGAACTTCCTTGACTAACTGTTGCTCCCTTGTGTTCCCCAGCTTTTGGTCCACAGTGTGTTGATCTACAATAGAATGGATAAATGTCTCTGGAGAGTGTCCAACATCCAGATCATAGTGGCCTTGAAGGTGCTTTTTCAAAAGGCAATTGGACTATTTCAAGGAAGAGGAGGAGGAGGAGGGGGAGGGGGAGGAGGAGGAGGAGGGGAGGAGGAGGAGGAGGAGGAGGAGGAGGAGGAGGAGGAGGAGGAGGAGGAGGAGGAGGAGGAGGAGGAGGAGAGGAAGGAGAAGGAGAAGGAGAAGGAGAAGTTGTTTCTCTTCTCATCCAAGGATGAAGCTTCTTGGATGAAAAGAGAAATGTCTTTCTCTTTCTCCTCAAGAAAAAACAGTCCACTTGCCTTTTGGAAAAGCAATTTTGAGACAACAGAATGGATAGTTGTTGAGTGGCAGATGTCTACACTTAACAATTTGGTGGGGTACGAGGTTACATTAGATCAGGGGTCTTCAAACCTGGCCCTTTTATGACTTATGGACTTCAACTACCAGAATTCCTGAGCCAGCCACGCTGAGGGGAAAGGGAGAGGTTTCCAAGCTGAGCCATGCTGGCTGAGGAATTCTGGGAATTGAAGTCCACAAGTCATAAAAGGGCCAAATTTGAAGACCCCTGCATTAGATGGAGGAAGACCACACAGCCTGTCACACCTATGGGATGGACTAGGGTTTCCAATAAAAATTAGCCAGCATTCTCTGCCCACTGAGTATCCAGGGTCTTAATCAGAATAAAGCTGGAAGGGACCTTGGAGGTCTTCTAGTCCAGCCCCCTGCTCAAGCAGGAGTCCCTACATCATTCCAGACAAGTGGCTATCCAGTCTCTTCTTAAAAACCTCCAGTGATGGAGCACCCACAACGCCTGGAGGCAGGTTGTTCCACTGGTTAATTGTCCTCACTGTTAGGAAGTTCCTCCTTAATTCAGATTGCTTCTCTTCTTGATTCGTCTTCATTAAGATGAACTTTAGTTCTCCTTCCCATTAAAGTTTTCCGTAAATATCTTATTGACAGAAGCCATTATTTTTTTTTGCCATCGTGGAATTCAGAATAAGTTTGCTCTTATCACTTTTAAAAGGAAGGGGGGGAAATGATTATTTAAGAGCAATTCTACATTGCTTTTCATTTTTAGATAAAATAGCCCAAATGGCTGTAACATTATTCAAGAATAAAAGAAAATAAAATATTTTTTTAAATAAAAAAATAAATAAGAACATGTTAAAAAAAGAAAAGAAGATGAAACAAATGAGATAAATTAATCTGAGAAAGAGAACTGGGGTAGATTGTTATTTTTCCGAAATGGTATAGGGTTTCCTGCCTGAGCAGGGGGTTGGACTAGATGACCTCCAAGGTCCCTTCCAACTTTATTATTATTATTATTATTATTATTATTATTATTATTATTATTATTATTATTATTATTATTATTATTATTATTATTATTATTGATCATCGCACAGTCAGCCAGATGTTCAGACTGGATTTGGCATTTTTGTCTACCTATCGAGTCCTTACCAAGGACCTGGGATAGGCAGATGTGGATGTTTGAGGGTATTACATATATCGTCTCAGGATGGAAGCCGTTCCTAGTAAGGCCACCTTTTGCAATTGACTAATGGCGAATTTGTCAATGCCAATGATGTTCAAGTGGTGCTCCAGTTGTTTTGGGATTGCACCCAAGGCGCCTATTACTATTGGTACTATCCTTGCTTTATTATTATTATTATTATTATTATTATTATTATTATTATTATTATTATTATTATTATTATTATTATTATTATTATTATTATTATTATTATTTTCCGACTCTCTGTTAAAGGAGGAATACCAGTTTGACAGCTGTGCAGCTTCTCCTGAAAAACTCTAATGAAGTACAGCCAATTCTTTTTTGGAGGCAACCTAGTCAATTATTAATCCATGTGTATTACTAAGATGTTCTTATAGTACTATTTCTGCAATTCAGGTTTGCTAATCTGGGGCCCTAATTACTTGAACAACCGGAACATATAATTCTCATCTTATTTTTGTCTTCTGTCTTTAGACGCTGATAGAAATATTTGAAAATATTAGAACCACCAATATAGCTGACCTAGTGGCGGGGTTGCTGACCATCGTGGTGTGCATGGCTGTCAAGGAGATTAACGACCGCTTCAGGCACAAGATCCCGATTCCCATTCCGATAGAAGTGATTGTGGTAAGCCGACAACTTTGAGAAACTCAGGAAAGTTATAGGAGAACCAGATCGGCTTTCTCTCTTTACACCTTTTCGAATTCTGACATCTGTCGCGATTGCGGTTCTACGGCTCCATACAGGTAGCCCTTGACTTACGACCACAATTGAGACACAACATTTAGGTTGCTAAGCGAGACGGCGTTTAAGTGAGCTTTACCCCGTTTTACGACCTTTCCCGTCACAGTTGCTAAGTGAATCGCAGCGGTTGTTAAATTAGCAACAGGTTGTTAAGTGAATCTGGCTTTGACTTTGCTTGTCAGAAGGTCGCAAAAGGGGATCGCGTGACCCCCCGGGACGCTGTGACCGTCATAAGTGCGAACCAGCTGCCAAGGGTCCAAATTCTGATCACATGATCGTAGGAATGCTACGAAGGTCGTAACTGTGAAAAACGCTCACAAGTCTCTTTTTTTCAGTGCCACTGTAACTTTGAATGGTCACTAAATGAACTGTTGTAAATCGAGGACTACCTGTATTATGGTGATTTTCTTATGGTTTTATCTTAATTTAATATGTTATCTCCTATATTGTATTGTCCACATATC